ATTTATTTGTTTTCATATCTTTTGGCCTATGGGCCTTTAGTGCTTTTATTTAAAAATCAAAACTTTCACATATAAAATAGGGAGGAAGAATAAAGGATGTGAGGTCCAAGCTTAGACCACTGTGGCGGGACTGCAAGAGACCTGGCCCAGGTGGCTTCCCGTTGCTGCACAACAAGCTCCACTCACTTGGTGGCAGCAACAGCCCCACCTGCTGTCTCCCTGCTCTGTGAGCCAGGTCTGGTCCCACAGCGGGGTTCTGGCCTAGACTGCTCAGGCCCAGGTGTGGGTGCTGGCTGGCTGTGCTCCTCGGGGCAGCTCGCATCTGAGCTCCTCAGGTCCTGGCAGCAGCGGGTGGGCTCTGCGTGGCGAGGTTCTTTCCCTGTCTGCCACACCTGTCCTCTCGTGGCCTCCTCCATCTTCACAGATGCAGTCTCCCTTCAGCTCCTCTGTGCTGTGGTCTCCCTGACCCCCTTTCAGAAACTTCACAGAACTCTGCCTTCAAAGAGCCACTGGGGACACCGAACTCCCCGGCTGGTATCTGGCCCCAAGGCTAGCTGAGGGCTAGTCTTGGTCACCCCCACCCCGTCCATTTGCCAGGTTCCAGGGCAGTTGCTGGGGCGCTGGCCCATTTGTTCCAGTTGAGGGATCGAGTAGAACTGTGGTCCCTGGGGTGCTGCTGAGCATCCTGCCTGTGGTCCTGGAGGGGTGCAGAGAGCGGCTCTGTGCCTGGGTGTAGACGTGGTGCAGAGGGGCAGGTGGGTGCCGTGAGGGGCGAGGAGCCTTGGTGCCACATCTGCACTGCCGCCTCTGCTGGGGCAAAACACAGCCAGGCCCAGGGAGAACTGATGTCACCTAGAGGCCACTCTTCCCTTTCCACCCCAGCCTCCCCTCAAGCACTTAAAAATGAAAACTTTTTAAAAAGCAAGCAAGACTGCACAAACTGGCGTCCTGTCATGGCATCTTGATTGGGAGCCAGGGTAGGGTCTCCTGTCCAGAACCCACTGTTCCTGCAGGAGCCGCAGGCTGCTCCTGGGGACACTCGCCCCACACAGGGAATCACTGCCCAGAGAGGATGCGTGAGGACTGGGCCTCTGCAGAGCACCCGTGAAAAGCCGAAGGGGTAAAACATTTTAAGATTAAACAGTTGGTTCACACCTGGCATAAAACTTAAATAGCACAATGTGGATACCATTTCCCAGTGCTTATTAGCAGGACTGTAGTCATGTGGAGATGTTTACAACCTCTCATGTGCCCTTCACAGTGTCATGCAGGACCTGCTCTTCTGTTCACCTTCCCCCGAGTTGTTGGTAAATGTTCTTTGGTTCCAGAGTGAGGTTGAAAGTGTAAAATGTAACCATAATAGATGCTGAGTGGTCATCGCACACTTCGGAAGGAGGGACACTTCATAAGCACTCATCAAAGCAGCCTTGCTCCCACTCTGGGAGGGTAGTGTGGTGTCTAAACCTCTACTTCAGCAACTTGATGAGACCCAGCCCCACCCCGTCCTGGAGGTCTGAGGTTGAGTGTGGCCAGACTGATAAATGCCCCCCTTGCTCTGAAGTACTCTGAGCTGTGCAGGCTGGGGTTAAGGTCACAGTGCAGGGACATTTAAAAAGGTATTCTGTGCCCTGAAGGTGTCGCCGGCTGATGGGAGGCAATCATGAGTTTGTTATCAGATCACCACCTTTGTGTACATCTGCCATGCTGCTGAGTTAGTGCCCTAACCCTAACCCAGCACTCAGATTCTGTCTTCTCTGTCCACCCCAAGGCCCCATCCTTGCTTGCACACCTGAGTTGCACATTTCCTGTGACACTTGTGTACGGTGATGGCCATGAGCCTCTGCTGGGTGGATGCCACACTCCCTGGGAGCAGCAGGGAAGTGATGATCCTGCAACAGCCTGAGGCCAGGCCCCTGGCGGGTGGGGGACTTCAATGGTAGCCCTTGGCTGTTGGTGGAACCTGCTGATCTTAGGGATTTCACTACTTTTTTGTAACCTATTCTGTTCTACAGAGAAGCATAGTTGATCATAATCAGTGCTATCAGTAGTGCCCAGCACTAATACCGTGCTAGATTCAGTGAGACAGTGGCTGTCAGGAGGGGAGGGCCTAACTCTATCTCTTCACATGTTTGTGCTCTTGGAAATGTAATATGTATCCATTACCAATCACAAAATAGAAATTACTTAGAAAATTCTGATATTGCCTAAATCCCATCAGTATTCCTTCAGTATGGCTTCCCTTTCTTGTGAAAAAAAATTACTTATAATTTGTTGGTTCCCATACACGTCCCAGGGCTGACTTCCGGCCTCCCTGAGGGGATGGAGAGAGGTGGGTATCTTTCCTGGATGGCACTGGTGGATTTCCAGCCATGGCCCGCAGGGTGCTGGAGAAAGCTGGGCACCTGGCATAGCTCACTGGAAGCTGTGACAGCACCAGCGCAGCCCAGAGAGCCTGCAGGAGCTGTGGAGCAAAGCTCTACAGGAACTTGGGCTGGGGTTCAGGCTCTTGGCTTGGGGGGCCCAGGGAGGAAACCCTTCCTCTCCTGGGTCTTCCAGCACCCTCTGCCCACAGAGATTCTCAGTGCACTAGCAGCTAAAGCAGAAATCTTATGGAGCTTGCATCCATTTGCATAGCTAGGTAATGAGGGAGGCATTGAATTGATAATCAGCACCCATGGAAGTCCCTGTCCATCCCCACAGAGTGTGGACCAAGGGCATTTGAAAGCTCTTCCTGCACATGTGGAAAATCAAAGTATTGTTTGGGATGTGTAGTTTGCTTATCTCCTGTGCTGACTTAAACCAACTCTGACCACAGCCAGTGTTTTATGTGGGCTGTAACTAGTTCTTTGAAACAAAAATTATGTACATTATTTGTAAAATATTGCATAAGTAATCATGATAGAAATGATTGCCCACTATTTTGTTAGGATGGGTGGACGGAGCGTGTGTGTTACCCTAAAGGTTTTAGCAGAAGAGTTTTCAGATGTTTCTTCCCGCTGGGCCACCCTGAGATGGGGGTCCGTGCCTGGGCTGAGTCACCCTGCTCATGCTACGTCACAGTGTATGGCGTCCAGTGGGTGCTCAGGGGGATTAGGGAGAACAGGTGCACAGGAGTAAGAGAGGATTTCGACTGCTGCAGTGCATAGATGAGCTCTGCCATCACCAAAAATATAGGAAATAATCACGTTTGCATAGACAGTGTAGCTTAAGACATAACACAAAAAATATACAGCGTAAGAAGGAACTTAGCATCTGCATTAAAGTTCAGTTAGTGGGCTGGGGGTGTAGCTCGGTGGCACCACACTTGCCTGGCAAGGGTAAGGTCCTGAGTTTGATCCCTGGTACCAGATAAAAGGAAAGAAAGAAAAAGAAAGAATGGAAGAGTTCAGTTAGCGATTTCTTGAGAATTCCCACAAGCTGGGCATGGTGACGATCCCCATAACCCCATCTTTTTCTAAAGGAGAGCCCCCTGAGCCCTGGAGTTTAGTAGCAGCCTAGGCAACACAGGGAGATCCCATCAAGAAAATTCCCAAAATACTCTCAAATGTCACAGTTTGTGAAACCACAGGAAACTGAGAAGGAAACATGTGTGAGACACCACGTTCAGAGAGACTTCTCAGAAAGACAGTGGCCTTAGGGGGGAAAGCTCCAGAGTCCAGAGTTCATCGTTTTCAGGGAAGCAGTAACAACTACAATCTTCGGCTTGAAAAAGTGTCCTTATTGCTGTTCTCTTGAGAGAAGATCTTCTTGATGCTGTTGTTTGCTTCATTTGTGGAAAATCTAGTGTCTTGATGGAAGATGAGAGCTTGAGAGAATGTCTTACATGTTAACGACGCTTATTCATGAGTGTAGATCAGTTACAGTGCTGTCTTACTACAGTAGCTGTCACTGGTTCAAAATCCAAAGCACCGAGTATGGCTGCTCAGTTGCTATGAAGGATGGGTGTGGAAGAGAGGAGAAATGAGAAAGGGTTGAATAATCAGAATCCCCAAGTCTGTCCCCATCCATCCGCCCGCCCACCTCTCTGAAGGCACAACGGTCCATAATTCTTACTACCATTTTCTTATTGTAATCACTTTGATGTTTCCTTATTACTATCAGTAAGAGTTGATTCTATTTCTCCCTAACAAATAATATATCTTTTCCTTGTTAGGAAAGGCATAATATGAAGTGAAATGTATATTTTTGGTATTATTTACCAAGATAACATTACTTAGCATCTTTATGCGCTTGGATATAGGGTGATATTTAGCATGGTATTAAGCTGGACATGAACTCACAACCGATCTGAGACAGGCCAGAGATTTCCTGGAGCGCATAGCACCGTATTTTATAGAAACACTGCACCATTTGTGCATTGATTTGGGGTAACTTCTACTCTGTTTTATACTCACTTTCTTTAACTCTAATTTGGGATTTGCCAGCCACCCTGCTAGAACTGAACGATTGGCAAAAGGAGAGGCTTCCCTGCCCCGGTAGTGTGCAGGTGAAGGCAGAAGGGTGCAGGGTGGCAATACCACCCCGCCCCAACTCTAGGAGCCGCAGCCTGGAAGAGGCTGGCATACAGCTGGCTGTGCCTGAAGTGATCCAAACCCTCTACGTGGTGCACATGCTCGAGCGACTGAAGCAGTTAGCTGGCCTCAGGGCCCTCGTGAAGCCGGCACACGTGTGCTGCTTGGGAGCTGGAACGCTAGGGGGCAGCACCCAGGGTCCCGTGGCTGTTCGCGAGCGGTCACTTGCACGCTGTGTGCTAAGCGAGGCCTGTCTGTGGGTGAGCACCCAGGGTCCAGTTGGGCTCAGTGGATGCAGAAGCATGCGGCGGAGGGGAGCTTTTCACGTCCACATGGAGGCCTTGCAGAGAGGGTGACTTGAATCATCAGCAGCAGCGCCCGGGTGGGTTATTTTGGAGCTTGCAAGAAGATAGGCAGGCATGTTAGCTTAAGGATTGGGACTCTTCACAACTATTTCACTTACATTTTATTTCTAACCTCGTTCTCCAGGCACTTTGGAAAGACATGAGACAGGAGAAAGAGCGAGAATTATTCTTAATTGCTGTGGTGCCTCGCAGCTTTTGACGCCTGAGCCGGCACCGTCAGCCCCCTGGGAGACCTGGAGGCACGGAAGTGTGGAGCAGGGGCTCCTGGGCTGCCCCGGTCTGCAGGCAGAGGCCCTGTGGCAGGTGAGTCCATACCTGGCCGCCGTGCAGCAGGCAGAAGTAGCGGGTGCATCCGCACTGGGCGATCAGACCCCAGAGAGAGACGGGGACCCAGGCTGGGCTGATCCCCTGGCGATCCCAGGGCACTGCGGCCGCTTCCAAGCAAAGAATATCCCTCTTAGGGCATCGTTTCCGACAAGATCGTAACTCGAATTCTGGTCTTCAGAGGAAAGAAAAAATTACACTCTGTAGCTTGGATTCCTTTTTATTTTTCATTTGAGAGTATTCGACCCTTCTGAACATGTTTATTGCAAATGAATACAAAGGTATCAGGAAGAGTGGATTATTTCATGGGCAGTTCTCTTGATCCTGACTTGGGGAGAAAATCGGCTGGAGTCTGTGCTTACTCTCTCAAACCAAGCCCACTAGCCCAGCAGAAACTCAGACCAACTTTACCATTTTTCCCTGGTCACATGAGGTAATAATTCAGTCTGATTTCCTTGAGATATTCCTTTCCCTCTAATCACTTTTACACCCTCAACATGCTGTAACCTTGCCATTTATAGCCACATAACCAATGTAGTTCACCCATAAACATATCTTCATAATATGTCTAATCTCTGTACATTTCATCCACATCATATTCTGCGTGGTATCTTTACTGTTGCTGATAATTTTATTTTTTATGACTCTATTATTCCTTTGTATTTTACTTTTATGAACAGCTTGCCTAAGAGCCCAAGAATTTTTTCATTAAAATTATTTGAAGGACACATTGGAAGCAGGATTGTAAGTCAAGGTTTGGCTGATTCTGGTCATGTATTGCTGCCAGTTTCCTTTAGTACTGAGAACCCTGCTACATATCATCACTAAGCCTCTTCCCAAAGGGCTGCTTCGCCTCCCGGGTCTCCCAATCAGAGGCAAAGGGGCCGAAAGCCCTTTTGTTCAGGGTGCAGTGTCAGGAGCAGGGCACGGGCTGGCATGTGGTCCTTAGAATTTTAGGTGCAGAGACTGATTTAGATTTTACCAGTGAGTCTAGGGTTTGGCAGCCTTTGGAGACCTGACTCACACCATCCAGACACGAACCAGCTGAATGTACACACCGGGAACTCCACCGCCGACTTCACGGTGACGGCTGCCATTGGCGTGGCTACCGCCGTGAGCACCTTCTCCCCACAGCTCTGCTGGGTCATCGGTCACACAGTGTCCTCAAGGCCAGGCAGACCCAGGTTCGGGCCCAAGGCTGAGTCCCCTGCAGCCACTACCTTCTCGGGAACGCTGGCCGTGCAGGACCCTGCCACTGTGCATGGGAGTTCCAGCTTTGCTCCTGTCATCCTTGTTCAGCTGCTACAGCCCGTGATGAGGCAGCAGTTTTTTCTTTTCTCCTTTAGTCAGTTGTGTTTAGATGGCCCACACCAGTTTTTGATCTTATGTTTAAAAGCTATTTCTTATTTTTAAAAGGCATCTGCAGAGATGCTGTGGGCACTGGGGAAAGTCAAGTCACATGTGCACACATCCTAGGCAGGGTGGCAGGAGGACCCTCAAGCTGACGGTGCTGACCGTGACTTCCTCTGCCCAGGTCTGCGCGAGCAGAGCTCATTCATCAAGTGCCAGATTGGTAGCTCAGTTCCCGGAAGGTAAACTGATTGCTCTCTCTTCCAGTTTCTGGGAGAACCTCAGAGCTACCCTTTAGGTAGTGATGATAGTACAGATAGATTTCATTTTCTTCATGTAATTTTGTTTCTTTCTTGACTTCAGGAAGCAATAAAATGCCGGGGTCTTGTTCTCCTACTCCTAGGCTGCGTTCAACTTTATTTTCTAGCTGCTGCCCTTTGCCTCTGGTGACTGCTTCTCTCAGCCTTCATCTCTGCAGCAGGAGGAGAAGGGGGCAGACAAGGCCACCTGTCCACTGTATCTAAGGAACTTGGGTTCGCTACAGTGACTTTCATTGACTTTCAACTTAGTCTGTGCTTGCTTTTCCCTTCTGTCTCCTGGGCTCCTGAGGTTGAGGCCATTCATTGCATCTTGTAGCATTTTTTCTGAAGGTTAGGCTGCTGAGATTACTTGATCTTAATCTTCTTTAATTTATAAATTTGATAAGCATGAAATTTCAAAGGTGCTTGTAGGTTCTTCATTCTCATGGTGAATATACTAAAATGCTCCATGAGTTTGCATAAGAAAACATATCAGCTTGGAAGACAAGGGTTTGAATCGCACTCATTTATAGGTGGCAAGATGCCTGCCATGATTAGAAGGGCCTGAGGTTGCCTTGTGTTTCAGGGTTTGTGTGGGGTGTAATTAAGAGGTGCAAAGCTTTCCGAGCGAACTGCTTCAGCAGGAGCTTGTGTAGGGCTGTGTCATGAGCTCTTTGTGTTAGGAGTACATGGACATTTCTAGGATGCTGTGTTCAATCTCTCCCCTTAGATTTGAAGAGTACACATGGGGAACAGCACACACAACAGAGAGCATTTTAAAACCATTTCAAAACCAGGCCCAGTTTGAAATGCGGAAGGAGTTGAATCTGTGCAGCTAGATGCAGAAAAAAATTTGGGGGGCAGGAGAGAAGGGTCAAAGTCTTAAAGGACTTAAGGAATACAGTATCATGTTAGTGATAAGGAGCTGCTTTTCTTTGATTCAGCTGAGGATAAAAGCAAGATAGAACCTGTTTAAATTGCAGTGGGAGGAATTTCATCTAAAGTAGAGAATAAACAACTTTGCTAAATTGTGTCTACATGGCAGAAATCTTTGTCACTTCCTCATAGTTTAAGGAGGAAAGGCCTGTTTTGTCTGTTGGTTGGTTGATTGGTTTTAAATTCTTTTTCTGCATGTCTCGTCTGTAAAGTGAGTCCATGGATAGGCAGAGTTATTTTAACTGTCACCGTGTAGGCCTGTTGTAACATCATGGGGATCTTGCATTTGCCTGATCATTTGTAAGGTCCCGGCAGCCCCTGCTTACCTGTTCCATGCTTCACCATCTGCTCTGCAGCACCAAGCACGTGTCCAGCACCGCACACCAATGACAGGGCCTGCAGGAGAGGCAGGGTCAATAAAATATATCCTGCAAGTCACGTTCACCCTTTGCCTTTTGTGTCTACGAGGTAATTTAAAATCGCAAATGCTGTTTGCATTCTGTTTGTTTTGCACAGTGGAGAACAAGATCAGGGTTAAGTCAACACTTCTGCTGGCAGAGCCCAGATGTAGCTGTAGGTAGTACTTCATCCAGCAGTTGCGTCACAGCAGCTCTCCTGGCTTTGCACAGACAGGTAATGCCAGTGCTGGTGCCACACTGTGGCTGGCCAGGAAACATCTCTGCAGACCTCTCTGGGCTGGGAGACCTCGGCACCAGGAGTAGCTGGCGAAGGTCAGCCCCTCCTCTTTCCCTGCATGTCAGAGATTGTAGGGCGGTAGTTCACCCTGATGTCTGGACTGGGTGCCCTGTAGCCCGACAGACCTTGCTTGATTCTAGTCTGGTCTCTGACAGAAGCGGGAACTTAGATGTGTTTGGAGAAACTGTCCTTTTCAGCATGCTGAGTAGGGTGTGCAAATTATGGCCCCCATCCCAACTGAGATTTTTCATGGAGTTTTCATTAAATAATTGACTTACATGTGCATCCTTAAACTGGCAAAACTGATCATCAATGAAAAATGCACACGTGCTTCTGCGCATTCCGGTTGAGCTTTCGAGAAGCACTGTGCTTTCATCTCTCCTTTGTCTGACCCTGTGATGTCTGTCGGTTATCTGTTAAATTCTCCTACCCCTCATGGAATGCACATGGGACCCCATTAGACCTCTGATGGAGAACGGGTCTCCGCCTCTCCTACATTTGGTCAGACATACAAAGTAACCAAAGCAGGACTGGTGCAGCCCCTAACTAGTGATATTTGAAAATCTCACCTGCAAGTTTACATGTAAAATATTAAATAACACTTCATGGTGACTGCAGCACACATTGCAGCCTAACTCGGTTTTTATTGAACGATATTATCAGAATCACTTCATTTCAAAAAAGAATAAATATTTATTTGAAAAAAAATTAATTGCATTCCATTAGGATCAATCCTCCATGTAGAATAACAATGTCCCCATTTTTTATCATCACTTAATCTGGATTCTGATCTTTTTAACAAGCAAGAGCTTAACTGTTTTTCTAATGTGGGAAACATTTTGCATCCATTTTATATAAATTTGGAAGAAAACAGACTCATTAAACATAAAAGCACTCAATAAAAACATAATGATCTCTCTCTCTCTCTCTCTCTCTGAGCATGTGATTAAAATGTTTGAGAATTCTGATTTCATGAATGTCAACTTAAAATTTTAGCACTGAAATGAAAACACCCTTCCTAGGAAGACCGAGTAGAGAAAGTGTTCTGGGGGAGAAATGTACAGTCTGCTGTTTGAACCCTTGTGAAGTGACAGGAATTTTTGGCAGTGTGTAGCCATTTCTCTTATGCTTTTCTGTACAATTGGAGCTACTGAACTTCATGAGCAAGGTAAGTTTCTGAGCAGAAATAGCACAGATTGAGCAAAGGAATATTCTTCATAAAGCAGTTATAGAAAAATATTAAGGTCTATGGAGTTTTAGCTACTGTGATACTTAATACTTCATGCACTTACAGTAGTAAGCAGTGAATAACTGTTTCATGAAGAGTGTCCCCTCACTGCTCTGTAATTTTTTTGATTAAAAACTCCCCTTCTTTATGGAGAAAATGATGAGACACCCGTCAAGGCTTTGTCTCACACTGAGAAGGCCTGAATGGCTGGGGTGGGGGAGACATGCACAGACACACACAGGAACACACAGGCACACACACACACACACACATTAGAACCTCAGCTGTCTGCCCTCACACAGCAGCCACTCTGCATTTCCTCACAGGGCTCCAGAGCCTGCCTGTGTCTGCTCAGGCCTGGCCATGTAAATCAGCACAGAAGGAGCTGCTGGCTGTCCTGGGGTGTGGCTGGCGGGAGCCCAATTGTGCTGCGCGTGCCGGCGGGGAGCGCCCGCAACAGAAGGGCACTG